AATTGTACATAAGTGATGGGTGCTAGAATAAAGTTGAGATACAAAATTCCCTCATTTTTTGGTACAAATGTATATGGAGTCTATTCCCCAGACAGTTTGAATCGGTTTAGCTTAAATCTGTTGCACCCAGAATTAACAGAAAATTCCTTCACTGAAGTGTGATGGTGTAGAAGATAAGTTCTGAAATGGGTTAAATTGTGTAATCTCCTGATATGACAGGGCTTTCTTTATRGTGCTTCAACCTTTTCTATATATATTTTAATATAAACACAGTAAGCCTGCCTGAAAAAAACAATTTTTTTTTCTTTGGTTTAGAAACTGTTTGTGAAAACTATGAAGATGATGCACTTGGACATTATTCCCAAAATGTTTTGTGTTTGAATCCACTGTATTTGAGCAGGAACATTTAATTATTGGCAGAAGTATTTCATGGTTGAAAGAATGGAAAAACCAAGCAGATTTTAATTTTGATCCCAATTCAGCAAAAATGCATAGGGATATACTTACTTTCAGGCATCTGGTTTAATGATTTACGAATGAAGGTAAATCTGCACCACAGATTTACTGTTTTCAACCTGTCATTCAGCCCTTMCTGCACCTCTCTTTCCCTTTCTGTAAAGTAAGGAGAAAATAGTGGCCCTCGGGGTTGTGGAGTCTAAGGGGTAGATGCGTATGCTTGCTTTGCAAGTCTGCAGTGGAGGAAAAGCTGGCCATTATTATTTTCAATAGACTGGACTTTATAAGAACCTCCTTGAAGAGTCTGTTAGGAAGGAGAAAAATTAGAATAAATTTGGATTTATTCCAATGGTTTACTGTTTCCTTTGGAAATGTACATGTCAAGCTTTGCTGGCAATGATTTAACTGACAGGAGGGTATYGATCTGATCCAGTCTGATGCCAGTTCCTGTGACCTACACATGAGGGGTCCAAGACAGAGCAGTAAACAGTGCATCACCATTTCCCCTGGTCACTTACTCCTGGAGAATTGAGAACAACTTCAGCAGCAGCTTAACTGTACTTTGAATATTTGATTTCCTTTGGCAGTTGATGTAATTATTATAGAGTATGGAACAAACTAAAAGGAATATATATTCAGAGCAAAAATGAGGTCCAGGCCTTTGAGATGCAGAGACATAAATCTTCTCTGTTTGGTGTGACTCCTCTGGGACTGGGGGAGCTGGACACTCCTTTAGGGAGGATGAAGGTGCTCTGGGCTTTCCAAGATCACAGTGAGGAAGGGAACACTTAAAGTCATCCAGCTGTTTCCATCCCCTGGCCTGTTCTAAAATCTCTGCAGCGAAGTTACTTTGACTTGGATTGCCTTTTTCTGCCTCCTTGCTCATGTTGTCAAAGAACTTCGTGTTCTTATCGTTCCTAACCTTCAAGGAGGGCGCATAACCACCATTATCTGAGTGCAGAGTTCTCATACAAATCCTGCAGCCAGCATCAGCTCTCCACCAGGGCAAGTGCTGCCCTCCTGTTGCTGCTTGAGGGGTCCATGCCACGGTCAGATACAGCAGGTAGCTGTATGCAGTTCCCAGTGTTGGCCTCTGGCAAACAACAGATTTTCCCTCTTCTCATGTCTTATTCCCCTCTACAATGGTTAATCCTTCATGTAAACTTAACATTTGGGAAAGCGAGATGTTAGCTAGATAGCCCTAAGGGTCTTCCATTCATAGAAATCTGATGATGGGGACCAGCAGTGTGGGCTTCCTAATTCTGCCTGGGCTTGCATTTCAACCTGATCGCCCCATGGCTCCTTTGAGGGGGTCTGTTTCAGAAGTTTCAGAGGATGAAATGGTTAGTGCAATTTGAGGAGATGGGGTGCTTGTTTGGGAAGAAAGCTGTGACACAGTGGGCATCTTAAATAAGCCTCTGAATGGTCAACAGAGGATAATGAGGATAATACTTCTTTCAAATATATGTATCTAGTTATTTGTTAGATTTATAACTACACACAGTGGAACTGGTCTAATTTCTTAAGGGACTTTCCCGTATAAACAGAGGACACTAGGAAGGTTTCAGYTTGTGATTATGGATGATTGTCTGCAGCCCCAGGAAATCTGGTATTGTAGTAGTCGTGGGAACAAGAAGTGCAAAATTTGGGCTAGACATATCCTGGTTCAGGGCTCTGGCTCTCAGCTGAGGCTGCCAATATGCAAATAGAGTTCTCATGTAAAACGGAGCTGGATGGCTTGGATCTGTCCATGGGAATATCATAAATGTGGATAGTTTCCAGACAGCTATATACCTGCAGGGATGGGTCTATGTTGCTCCTTTCTTGATTTCAAAAAGTCTAAATTTTGTTTCAGCAYGTGCAGCTCCTGCTAAGTCTCTTGMACTTTTCTTTGGGACATCTTTTGCTGCTTGTCTCAGAGAGTAAGTTGGGTCAACACTAGGATTTAATCTGCTATATAAGTGTGTACAAGTACCACTGAATCCCCTTGAGAAGGCGGGAGGATCGTGTCCTGATTAATCTTTGGAGTTTGCTTCCTTTCTTGTGGTTGATGAGATGGTCTTGCTCCAAGTGAGCTCATTGGCTGTCATGAAATATTTTGTTGAAAATGACAATGTTGATTAGGCTTTACATATAGTCTGTATCTTTCACTAATGAGAAATTGTTTTATTCATAGAATCATTAACCTTTATACATATTCTGTCTGAATATTTTAAATGGTGAAAATGTTTAGTATCTGGCCCCTTTTGTTGTCTAGTACTTGTTTTATTTGCAAGCTTCCTCCACGCTTGCTCTCCTTGGTGAGGCACTTCAGGCACAGCTGTCACTGAGTCTGCTGAGACTCCAGGTATATCTTGGCATTTGCTGCACTACATGCCCTGGTGACAGTGTGGCTGGATGTCATTGGCCAGGGGAGTCATGGAAAAAGGAAAGGGCAAGGTAGTGGTGAAAGGAAACCTCGATCTGTCAGCAGGGGTGACAGGTGATGAGATGCAGAAGAAGGTAGTGCATGAACACATCAGGAGATAAAACTGAGTCTGTAACGACCAAAAGAAACAAGCAGGATGTAAGCTGGAATAATCTGCCTTTCCAGTGGAGACAGACGGTGTGTAACAATTCAGTGAGGCAAGGCAATGTCAAGACAAAAGGGGCAGACATGAAGAACTGATRAGCTGGGATACTTTAAGAAGGTTTTATTACACCTTCTGTAACGCCCCAGCTGTGTCTGGACCTATGGAGGTGGCTCCAGTTGCTGGTTAAGTAGTAATTGCAGCACAAATAAATAAACACATTTAGATCTGGGAAGGTTGACACCAGTACAGCAGTGGGGTGGTACAGTGCTGAGAGAGGACAGGCTGGCAGCAGGGGAGCAGCACAGAACCAGACAAGTCAGGGCGTGGTGAGATAAAAGATGATTTAGCTTTCTGTGTGAAGACTGCAATTTAGCTTCAAGTGATTGCAGGTTGGTTTTTTTTTTAATTTTCCTTGGGTTTTTTTTTTTTTTTTTTTTTTTTTTAATCTACACTCCCTCTAAAACTGGTTCAGCTGAATGGGCAAGTATGTGACTTTAATGAGATTCCTGAAGTCTTAGTAAGAACTGTGGTTACAGTCTGTCTGCCAGAAGCAAATGGATAGCAGGACATTATGATACATCTCTTGGTGCTGTCAGCAGCAGGTCCATGGCACAGAACCAGAGGGCAGGGTTTCCCCCTTGGAGCAGCACATGTAAAGCCTCCTTCCTGGGTGTGCTGGTTTTGGCTGGAGTAGAGCTAATTTTCATYGTGGTATCTGGCGTGGGGATGTTTTGGATTTGTGCTGAAAACAGTATTGATAAGTCAGGGATGTTTTGGTTATTGCTGAGCTGGGCTTGCACAGAGTCAAGGCCTTCTCTGCCTCTCACCCACCCCACCAGCGAGTGGACTGGGGGTGCACAAGGAGTTGGGAATGGACACAGCTGGGACAGCTGATCCCAGCTGGCCAAAGGGATACCCCAGACCATATGATGATGTGCTCAGTAATACAACTGAGGCAAGGAAGAGGAAGAGGGGTTAAACCATGACACCGGGCAATGCATCTCTACTGACTCCTTAAGCTGAGGCAACTCTACTTCAGTGAGTATTTTTTACACCTTATAAGAGAGAAAGCAATAAATATTTCTGGGTGCACTGGACATGGAGAGGCATTAAAAACAAACATTGAACTATAGTCAAGCTACAGAGTAAATAGGAACTCAAAAGAAGCTCTTGATCTTTACAGGAAGAATGTATTTCCAGTTCTCTCCAGCCTAGGAGAAATCAGACAAGATGCAGAAATGAGGATCATTGGAGTTGTGTGGAAGAGGTTTTTTCTTTCAACACTCCTTATGGCACTCGATAAAGATGTGTGTCACATTTGGGGACATCCCTAGTTTTTGAAATACAGTAAGGATAGGACAAGGAATTTGTATGAGTAACCCTCCCTTTCTCATTTATCAGGGCTGTCTTCCAGCAAGGGTTCGACTGTTTTCACGGTCTGCCAAATCTTTGCAAATGATCTCATGGACATGACCTCCCTTTCTTGGAGTCTTGCAGCTTCCCTCCAGCAAACATGGCAGGGACAGTGTTGGGAAAGCAGTGATAGCTCTCCAACTGCTTTGCTGTGACTTTGGAAACTGGATGTGTAAATTTATGCTTCATGCACAGTTGTCACCTCTGAAAAGTTAACAAAGGCAAGCACAGGTACAAATTTCAGGCAGCCAGCCAAAACAGTAGACAGTTGCCTAGGGCAGCAGACTGTTGAATGCAGCCCAATGCCAAAGCTTTATGAAGATGAAGGCTTGCTGCCGCTGCTCTGCCCTTTAAGAAGCATTAGAACATTAATCTAAGGGTTGAGATTAATGTCCTGTTTGCAGGGAACAGCTCCTTACTTGGCCCAGGTGATCCTTAGCGGTCTGGGTGAAAGCGTCAGACCTGCAGTGCTTGTGTCAATGTTCACATCTGCTGTTAGAGTGATCCATGGGAGGGTGGGATGGGGCCTTTTTACATAGAAATAAGAGCAGCCCATGGTTTTGGAGTTCTTCCTCGTGTTCCCCTAGTGCAGCAGGAGTGGTCTGAGTTGGTGTGAGTAGGCTGCTGCAGGGGAAGGATGCTTTGAGGTGAAAGTGGAAGTCACTTAGATGGTGAAGGATGGACAGGGATGATGGCCAGGAGGGGTGGTCTGCCTGCAGTGAGGTTGGGCTGTCCTACCTAATGCTTCACTGACTCTGTTCATGCCAGCCCACCAGCAGCCCTGCTTCACTCCACCTCTCATCCTCACAAAATTTCGCTGATGTCTCCCACCCAGCCCTGCTTTGGCAAACAACCTTACAAAGCTGTTTGAACCAGCCCTGCAGATGGGCTTAAAAAATAACCCAAGCTTTTTATTTACAAAATCAAAACCTCGCATTTAGGATTTTGGTGGCAAGTAGAAACAGGTGCAAGAGAGGTAGGCCATATTCTTCAGACCACCAGCCAAGTACTCTGCAGCTTTTGGTCAGGAAGCTGCTGGTTGAGGCTAAATCCCTGCAGCAATGCTTCACCTGCTATTATCACTTTATCTGAAGTCATAAACACAGCCAGTGAAGAAATTATTTCCAGCATCTTAAAAAGGACTTGGTTCCATAATGCACATATTAGCTCAATGGCAGTTGCTTTCACTAGCAGCAGATTTTAGGTAGAATTCTCCTGCTGAAGGAGCTCCTTTAGTTGCCACCTTTCACAGGATATTAGGCTGGCTAGAYGAGCGATCTTTCCCCTTATGGCAATACTTATGTCTTGTTTTTCGAAAGATCATTGCCTTGCTTGTGCTTGTTGGCAGTCAGGTTGTTACCAGCAGTACTCATAACACGTTACTGTTGTTAATCATCATATGCCTGTGCATATTAATACTTAAAATGAGATGTTTAATTAATGCCAAGTTTCATGTGAGCATCTCCCAGGGTTTTCCAGCTGAAAAGGCTTTTGTTTCCAGTACACCACAGTGCTATCAGTGGACCACCAGAGCAGGGCTGCCTGGTGGTGTGTCCTGGCTGCCCCGTGGAGTGCTGCAACTGCACACATGTGCTTGGAGAAGCTCACACGAACACGGACATTGACATCACCTGTATTTGTGGAACTGCCTCATCAGCTGCTGCCGTCTCACATTCCTGGCTGGGAGAGGCACCCGGGCGGCTCGCCATGGTTTACTCCTTTCTCAGAATCCACAGGGAGACTGGGTGAGGGCAAAGCTTGGAGATGCACTTCTCCCATCATGTCATCTATTTACATGGCACATGCCTTGTGTGTGTGTGAGACAGCGAGGGCTTTTATTTTTTTCCCTCTGCCCTAGTTCTTCTTTCTGGCTGTGGTGAGATGGAAAGGTGGGACGCTCTCATCTCTGCTAGCAAAAAGGTTTCCTGTATCTGAGGCTGGCTTGGAAATTCTTTAGGTGACATCACACCGTGTCTGTGCAGACTCATTGTTTGTCATGGAAAAGCCATTCATCCATACACAACTTCCTTCCTTCCCAGACTCAGAGATAAACTTTCCATTCTGTCTATTCCCTATAGAAACAGACCCAAAACATGTATGCGTGGCTACACACACATACACCTCACCATCACTCCGTCACGCTCGGGGCTGTGGGAGGAGGAAAAGGGAGGATATAGAAGATGTGAATAAAGTCACCCTGTTTTCTTCAGACATGGATCCTGCTGTGCCCAAGCAGTAAAACTCCCCTCCCACTGAGGTGCTGGGTCACACAAGGCTTTTTTGTCCTGAGGCTAATTCTGGCACTTGCAGCCCCACATCTGCCTGCCAGGTGAGATGGGCTACCAGCTGCAGGTACAGCACATCTGGATGGGGGAGGAAGCGAAGCGTGCTGCAAACAAACACAGCAAGTCCACCGTGGCGGGTGCAAGGAATTCGATAAAAAATATACTTCAGCAGTCTGAGCTGCCAAGGCTGGTGATTCATGTCTCGGGTGCTGCTTGYGAGGCAGACGGCAAGGCTGGGTACTTGTGTACCCCACAGCCACAACTTGGGGGTCCTGTGTGTTCAGCCTGCCTTTGGGGACCCACTGCTGCCTGGGCTGGGGAACACCAGGCCTGGTGAAGGAGGCTGAGGCGTGGGGGGCATTTTTCTGTGGAACAGAGGTGGGAACTGTGTGSTGCAGGGTAGGACAGGACCTTGTAGGACATCTTGTAGAGATGGAGGCAGCAGCARCGGTGTTGATGGTCTGATAAGGTGTTTGTTTCCCTACGGCATGAGGGAGGCAGGGTGTGAAGAGCACCTAAGAAGTACCTGCACGGTACAGGACGCCTGCATTTGCCTTCTGCCGCTGTCAGGGGGAGACAGGGCTGAGGAGCTGCCGGACTGCCCTGCCTTTGAGGTTCGCGGTAATCCCAGTTCACGGGAAAGGAGAGGGTGTTTGGACAAGAGGAGCCTTTGAAGCTTTTCTCCTGTCCACCTCCCCTGCCCATAAAGCCATYAGGCTCCGATGCCTGCTCTATCTGCACTCGCCGCTGGCGGCCCGAGCCTCGCAGACTCCCCGCCCGGGGCACGGGGCTGGGGCTGGGGCCGTGGCGTGGGGCCCCTCGGGAGGCCGTTTTGGGGAGGGGGCAGCTCATTTCCGAGCCGACTCTGCATTACAAAGGCAGCGGGGCCAGCGCGGCGCTTTGATGTGCCCCGCCAGCTCCCCGCACACCTGCGGCCGCGGGGCTCCCCGGCACCGGCGGACCGGGGSGCGCATCAAAGGCGGCCGAACCGGGGGCGGCCCGGGCGCTCCGGGAAGCCCTCCCSACGCCCGTACGAGCGAGAACGACCCCGCGCCTCTCAGCGCTCCCCCCGGGCCGGACCGGGAGGCTCAGTCGGCGGCGGCACAGCCCCGACAGCGCGGCCCCTGCCCCGGGGCCGGGGCTGGGCGGGAGGCAGGGCCGCCGCCGGAGCCCCCGGGAGGCGGCGGCCGGGGGAGGGTCCTGCGGGGTGGGAGGGGGCGGCAGCCGGGCTGAGCTCGCCGCGCCCCCGCCGCACGCAGGCCCCGCTCCAAGGGCTTCTCTTCGGCGCTTCTCCGCAGGGCGCCCCGTCCCGGCGGCCGGCTCCGCGGGGGCTGCCCCCGCAGCCCACCATGACCGGGCCGAGGCTGGCCCTCGCCGCCGCGCTTCTCTGGAGCTGCACCTCGCCGGTGGCCGACGCCAACTCCTGGTGGTAAGTGAGGGGAGCCGGYGGCGCCTTTGTCCGCCGCGGGTCGGGGACCGGGACCGTCCGGGGCCGTGCGGCAGCTCCCTGCCCTCCGCCCTCCGCGGGAACTTCCCTGCCTCCCGGGCTTCTTTCGCAGCAGCTCGCTTCTTTCCAGGTTTCTCCCCCTCCCGTCGTCCCTGCTCAGTTTCGGGAGACGTGGGACGCAGCCCCTCTCCTTCAGGCATTTCTGGGCTCCTTTTGTACGGGCTCGCTGAAATGCCGTCCGGGCTTTAGGATGTGGGGAATGCGTAGGGAGTGGATGGGTAAGGTTTCCTACCCGCTGCCAAAAGCCCTGGGAGCAACCGCGGAGCCCCTTCCCCCGAAGAGCGGAAAATAGCCTGGCTCAGAGGCAGGCATCGCTCGCTGGCGCTGTGTAAAATAGCTGCTCGCTTTCTTGGGCAGAGAAAGTGCTGAGCTTTCTCTCTGCCCCCTCCCCATCCGGGGTGTCCTCTGTGTTTAAACTCGGGTTACAAACGAACAGTGTTTCTCCCGCTAGAGCCCTGGAAAAGTCTCGCATCTGGCAGAGCCGTGGAAGGAGGCAGCTGACATGAGAAATGCGCCCGGGCTCCCGGAGCGGGGCTGGGCTGGGCTGGGTTCGTGGGCAGAGGTGTCGGGGGCTTCGCGGAGGGGGCCTCTCCCTCCAGACTTCCAGGGATGTTTTTCTCATCGTAGGTCTTTGGCCATGAACCCCATCCAGAGACCTGAGATGTACATCATCGGCGCCCAGCCGGTGTGCAGCCAGCTGCCGGGGCTGTCCCCCGGCCAGCGCAAACTCTGCCAGCTCTACCAGGAGCACATGGTGTTCATCGGGGAAGGGGCCCGCAGTGCCATCAAGGAATGCCAGTACCAGTTTCGGCAGCGGCGGTGGAACTGCAGCACGGTGGACAACACTTCCGTCTTTGGGAGGGTCATGAAAATAGGTAGGAGCACCTGGTAGTACAGAAGAACACCCAGCAGTACTAGGAGGTGCTGCGTGCAGGCTGCCTGTCCCTCTGGGCCTCTCTCTCATCCTTCAAATACACATGCAGGAGTGATGAGCCCCATTAGCGCGGTTCTTAAATCTGCCTTTAACAAGCTTTCCCAGTCCCTGGTACGCAGGCACTGCCCGAATGCTGCCTGCCCTTGGGTGGTGGCACCAATGMACCTCGGCCACAGCAGGAGCCAGCTGGGGCAGTGGAGGTCGAGGGGGACACAGTTTCTTTTGGGAGGAGCACAAGAAGTTCAGGAAGAGGGGGGCTGCCTCTGGTGTGCTTCTTCAAAGGTAATGAGGGAAGAAGCTGGAGCCAGGAACAATGGCTTCGTGTTATCATTCCCAGCATCTCGGACAGGGAGTGCAGCCCTGAGATGTGGGAAATATGGACTCYCCGGGCATGGAAATTCCCCCCCTTCCCTATACTGACACTTTCTGTGTAAACCAAAGAGATTTTTATAATTCCTGCCCTGCTGGCCCTAAGAGGCACATTGACAGGCCATTGCTGCACTTGAATTGAGGTGTGACCTATCTACATTGTCCCAGATCCTTTTGAAATGCAATGATCTGWTGGCAAGAAACTGAGAAATCCGGGCTCTGTTTGATATGTCCGACAGCCAGGCCAATAAAGAAAAGGTGTTAAAACAGCCACACACACAAACACACTCACACTCCCTCACTCTCCACAACCCCTGTCTGAAGGTTTTGTTTCCCACCCACAAAGCCAATCATTGACAATGAAGAATCAGAGCTATTTCTGGGTTGTGAACTCAAGGGATGCAAAAAAACTTTCAGCTCCTGGACCCCCAGTATTGCTCACACTTTCTTTGCTTCACTCTCCAAAAGATGCATAGGCAGCAGAGATGCACCCAAGAGATGCATCTTTAATACCTCTGGGGCGTTAAGGCGATAGAGCACAAAGTCCTGTGATCTCTTCTATTTGGTCCTGAAATTCATKTGTCACCGTAGAGAATTCTAGGGATATTTCTGCATGTGTTACTCAATCTTGCAGAATTCCTAATTCAGCCCAGCAKAGCTATTCTAATTCCTTCTTTTCTGCCCAGCTCGTACCCCAACAATCTTCTCTGGTGTACTCCCTTGGAGAATGCCATTTCCTGACACATACTTCCAGTTCCTGTCACACATCCAAGGCATCTGTGCATCCTTGATGTCTCTGGTAGCAAGGGTGGTGGCCAGATGGGGCTGCATGCAATCTCAGATTGTTAAAACTTGTGCTTTGGGGGATGAAAACTGAGATTTTATCCATCAAAGGAAAAGGACAGAAAATACACCTCTATTTCTCCTTTCTGATGTTACTCCCTCACGTGGGAGAATGTAACTTCTTCTAAAGAGCAGTGTAAATTTTAAATCCCCAAAGAAATACTTGTGAGTCCACAAGATTGCAAGTAAATAGGAATCTCCCCTTCTGGAGCAATCCTTATTCTCCAGTAGCTTCCTGCAACTCTGAGTTGGTCTGGTAAGAGGGTCCACATGTGGAGAAATAGGGTGAACTAAGAGAGAGCAAAGGTCAGAGCTGAAGGATGAAAAGCTGTCAGGAAGAATCAGAATGTATACAGGAAGAAGGAACTAGAGTATATAGTGGAGTGGGAGGATTTCTCCTCTCTAAAATGAACTTGATCCTCTTAGTTAAGATGGGGAGTAGATTTTTTAGTGTTTTGGTGAAGGCAGAGGTKGTGTAGGTATGTGGTAGATATGACCATTAGTCCTGCTCCTGCTGTTTGATTKGTGTGTGTGCATTTCTTTGTTGAGTCCTGTTGTATCTGTAGTASAAATCTGCTGATGGCAGTGTCTGTGAGGTGACTGCCTGCAGTTGTCCACTGTTTGAAAACCTATCCCAACAGAGTTTTGAAACCATTCTCTGGTCAGAGCATGTTCAAATGTTTGTGCTCAGCACAAGACTGCACTGAAGAAAAATGTTACCAAAGGTGGCCTGGGGTGCTCTGGGATCTTTGGTGATTCATGGCTGTTACCGTGTGTCACTGTGTCAGTGATAAGCTGCTGTGGAGGGAGACACTGCTGCTTCTCTTTTTTCATAATTTCACCTTCCACTTTTGTGTTTTCCTATTTTGTAATGAGTTACTACTTATAATTTCAGCAAATATATTTTCCACACWGAGGAAGAAGACAAAGCCTTTCAATCTCTTAGGTTATGCCAGATGTAAAGTCATTCCTCCCTGAGTTCTTACTGTGTGTCTGTCTCCCGTTTTCAACCTCTGAGCCCCAAATCTGGACCACAGCCCTTTTTCTGTACTTGTGCCATTGGCACAAGAAACGTCTGGAGACCAGAATATCTGCAAGAGTGCACAGGCATGCCAGATTGTTGTGGAGAGGGAGGAGAAAGGAGATAAGAAGGACCCAGAAGGTGTATAATGTGCCAACAACCCTCAGCTGCCCACCCACCGATGGGAGCATGGCATATATTAYATGATTTCTTGAGCTGCACTAGATGGTTAGAAGGGAGGAGARCTTACCTTGGCCGGGTCCAAAGCCTGGGAGATCCTTATGAGAGCGTTCACTCAGAAACCTGGAAGATWAGTTTCCTTTCCCTTTCACAGAGCTTAGCTCAGAAACGGGAGAGCTGCTCGGTCTGTGTTTAATCATTACACCTTCATTTTGTGTGTGTCATGGAAGTTAGGTAGTCCAGTGATACAAAGCTTTTGGAGGGGCACCCATAGCACTGAAGTAGGCTGCTTTTCAGCATTGTTTTCTCCTAGGGTTTGTGTTGTTATGAGACTTGCTGTTACCTTTTAAATGTGGTTTATTCAATAATGAGATCTAATGATGTAAAAAATAATCCTTGCGAAGTTGCTTCCTGTTGTCAATACAGATTTTAGCCTGCACATGTGTGTGTGTATATATATCTCTATACATTATATACAGACACATTCCTTGCTGCTACATTTATGAGGGGGAGAGCACAGAGCCCCCCAAAAGGTCATGTTAGAATTTCCTTAGGGGAGGAGAGAACATATCTCCTCCAGCAGAATCCTAAATGCAAGGCTGGGGTTTCCAGGTTAGTCCAGTCATTTCTGGAGCCAAAGATCTTATCTCTTCTGCCTTTTCAAATGCTAAAAGGAAAAAAAAAAAGACAGTCATAAAAGCAGAGAACAAAGAGAATTTTTTTTTCTTTGTTTTTCTTTGAGATTGGCAAACTTTAGGGTAATGCTTTTAAAAACAGTGAGTTGAAATGAAAACTTTTGCATTAAAAAAATTAAAGCGACACACTTTAGTGTCAGTYTCCCAAACCGGGTCTGCTCTTCTCTCATTTCCTTCTCGAGCAGCTCGAGAGCAGCGAGCCATGGGAGCCGAGCCTTGCCTGGGTCCTGCCCAAGTCGCATCCTCGCTGGTGCCCCCGAAAGCGGCCGCATMCCCGGGCTCCCCGCCGTGCTGCCGGTGGCAGGCGGGCACAGGAGGGCAGCAGAGCTCCGTGGAGATCCCCGCAGGCGGGCAGAGCCTCCCGAGGCCCGCAGCACCGGCCCCTACAGCACCGGGGGRCATCCCGGCAGAGATGTGGGAGAGGGCAGAACAAATTTGGGGAATAACACTCCAGTCCTTTGAGACGACAGCACAGAGGTGTAGAACTCCAGTGAACTTTAAGAGGATGAGCAAAAACCGAGATACTTTTCTAAATATTTGATTTGTGGACAGCAAGTGGGGTAAAAATACACCATCCTGCTGTGACTTGTTCCAGCCTCTCCTACCACCATCCTCAGCCGCCCGAACAACACGTGCAGATGCAGGGGCTGCACACTGAGTTGAGCTGCTACATCTGACAGGTGGGGATGGTTAAAATGTGGACAGTAAAAGTGTAAATCCCACTGTCTTTTCAGGGATCTCAGTCAGGCTGTAAGGATGCTAAGCACCTGGAGTCATGCAGGCTCTTTGCATGAGCTGTCACAGTGTGAGGTCCTTTTCTTGCCTGTATTTTAATCCCTACAGACAGGGGAGTGCTCTCCTTAAAAGGATGATTGGTTTGTCCTCAGGGCTTTCTCCATACACGGTAGGGACAAAACTGCACAGTGGACTGTTATCTTAAAATACCCATAGCATGCAAAACAAATTAGATGAGTAAAAGCTTGATTTTGGTTGCTGAAGAATTACCCTAACTCCTTTATGGGCCAGTCTTAGCTGAGTTACCTTAACTAGAAGTCACTCTTCTCTATCTCTTGCACCACGGAGGTTTGGTGCCCATTGTTCTCTTCTAATGAGCTGCGAGTTAGGACCTCCCTTCTGTATTATGTGTCCTGTAGCATTTTATCAGCTGTTCCAGAGCAGAAACCCTCAGTGTTCATCTCTCRTTTGTGGGGGGAGGGAAATCAAAAGTTGTTCTGCAAGATGGGTACCATTTACAGCCTTGCCTTTGTCTTGGCTCATTACCACTAAGTTGGTGATAAACTGCAATTAATTAGAGATTGTCAGCATGTGCAAATTGGAAGGAGCACACCAAATGCATCAGCTCAGCCCTGCTGAGGGAGCTGGCACTGAGAGCCTTGTGGGCTGGTGATAAACTATTCTTTGAAGATCTGCCCTCTGAAGTCATTAAAATTTGCTYGAGAGCATCTTGCTGGGGCTTGGTGAGAGTAGCCCTTCACAATTAGATTGCTTACTCTATCGAAGCTTTGGCAGTTGTCCTCTTTATCACCGAAAAGTTTGGTGATGAACACAATGGCTCTGAAGGTGTTGGTTTAGCTATTTATGAGAAGGGTTGGTGAGAGTGYAGGTGTGGATTGCCTCCTTCTCCTTCTCCCCCTCTGCAGACACTCAGCACTCCGTGGTGCTTGGCCCCATGCAGTGCTCTGGCTGTGTTGGTGCCCYGGTCACTCTGGGGCTGAATCCCTGCCAGGAATACAGAGCTGGAGACCTGATCCAGCTGCTTGGCTCAGCTGCTGAGCTGTGTAGGGCATGCACGCCAAGCAGGGCAGTCTCTAGTAAACCTGCTAATGGAAAGTCTTTTCATTTATTATTGTCWACATGGGGAAGTTTGACTTATTCCAGCACTGTGGTTCTGCAGGTAGTGAAAGAGCCTCTGCCTTGATGCTGTAGCGTAAAAACGAGTTTCCTTCACTCAGTCTGCAAGCAATTTTCAGCTGACCTTATGTAAACCAAAATAAGGTCGATGAAGAGGCGCCAGTAAAGACTGCTTGTCCCAATTAAATGAAAACCATTCCGGAGTGGTAACTGGCTTAACCAGAATGCTCCTTTTGCASAGAACCAACTTCGTTAGTTGTTCTTCAATGATTATTGGCAAAGGCAATGGCTAAGTCAGCAGCTGTTATTTTCAGCAAGTGAAAAGCCCTCTTGCTGGTTGAGAGTTTCCTCCAGGTTAGAATGAAAGGATGAGTGAAGGGGAAAGAGGCTGAGCAGTCCCTGCCTCACTGGAGTTGCTATCTAGAACAGGATGGTGCCCTTGCACTTGACCGTCCCCTTGTTTTGTTGCAGTAAATTCCGTGCACCTTCTCAGAGCCCACCATGCCCTGCTGTTTGGAGCCTGTTAGCTGGCTCCTGGCTGCGTGTTGCACACGAAATGGGATCTGTCTGGGGTTAATCTGCTCTCACCCCTCTCTCCCAGGTAGCCGAGAGACTGCTTTCACCTACGCGGTCAGTGCGGCCGGGGTGGTGAACGCCATCAGCCGCGCCTGCCGYGAGGGAGAGCTCTCCAGCTGTGGCTGCAGCCGGACCGCCCGGCCCAAGGACTTGCCCCGAGACTGGCTGTGGGGCGGCTGCGGGGATAACGTGGAGTACGGATACCGCTTCGCCAAGGAGTTTGTGGATGCCAAGGAGAGGGAGAAGAACTACGTGAGAGGTTCGGAGGAGCAGGCTCGCATGTTGATGAACCTGCAGAACAACGAGGCCGGTCGCAGGGTAAGATGAGTCCTGGCCYTTTCCTTTTACTCAGAGGGCGATTCAGAGGGCTGGAGGTAGCTGGATACCAAATTACTTGGAGGTTTGATGAGGGATGGTCCAATGATGCCCCTGTAAAAGTATATGGTCACATTTTCTGCACTTTTGTGAATATTACATACAATACTGACAGTATTAATGTTAAAGTTTTAGTTTTAATGTCAGACTTCCATTGCCAGCTAAAGCCAGTGAATTTTGAGGTCTGTTGAGACCCAGTATGGCACACATGCAGACGTGTAAGCCCTTTCCAAATAAACTAAATGCTGCTATGGCCCATTTTAAGGTTTATGTCTAAGAAATCTGCCCAGACCTGTAAAAGTGACCGGCTGATGGTGAAAAGAATAATCTTTTGGCACATAGGGTTCTTTTCTACTACCATAATTTAGATTTTTGGGAATACAAGGCCAGGAGCCTGGCTATCTCTGAAACTTAGGCCTTGCTTAGTTATCTTGGTACTGGGCACAGTAATTAATTTGCATTTAGGTGACAAACGTTTCCTGAGAAGATTCACAGTTTTGATCTGAGGACCCCTAGGAATGGAGAATCCTTTGTAGTATGCTACCAGCATCAATCACTGTTTCAACTCTGAACCTAATGATCATTTGAATTTATCTGGCACCAGCGTGCGGTCAGTTCTCTTTCYGACTTTTATAGCTAAATCCAAAAGCCTTTTAGTAATCAGAATTTCCTCTGCATACAAGTATTTATCTACTGTAATTTATTCACTCTTCTTTCTTGACAAACTAGATTGAACACTGAGGACTCTCTCCCTTTCAGAGGTTCTCATCAGCCATCAAATCATTTTCTTGTCACTTTAGTGTATCCTCTGCAATTTTCCCATACCCRTTTTGTATGCATTCAGTGTATGCACTTCTGCTTTTCACATAATTCCTGTCTGTGATTAATAGCCTGGAAGGTGTAGTATCATTCATATGCAGTGCAGCTGTGTAATCCTGCCTCTTTCCAAAAGTAGAACATTGAACATTTGTGCATTTTCCCCAGGGTGTTTTAAATTTTTATCATTCTTCCTTAGAAGTAAGCTTTTCAAAGGTTAATTTTATTTCTAATTCATGTTAAAAAATCCCATTAAGTGTACTTAGTCTTGCTCTTYTGCACATTCTTAACTAATATCCTTAGTTTCCTTATCAATTTTCTGCCCTCTCTTACTTCTAATTGTTACTGAATTATCTTTCCCTTTCCCTTGGATGTCTGTCTTTTCTGCACGTATTTTCAACTTCATTTTGTCACCAAAGATGATTTGCTATATTTCTTTGGTTATGAAATCAATGTGTGAGGTTGAAGCGTTGCTAGTACTTCATGGTTCTTTGGCAAAATCAAATTGGGGTAAATTTGCAGTAGGTGGAAAACTGGACTTGAAAGCTGTATAACTCAGCGAGTTTTGGTTTAGGACTGTTTTTTTTTTTGTTTGTTTGTTTGTTTTTTGGCTTGGATGGGCAGAGGGTCTGCATTTGCTTAGAAAAGGGGGTGTGGGGTGTGGTGCAGTAGCAGCCTGAATGTGACATTCTTTTCTGCATTACTTGCTTTGCACATCCTACATATCTGGTTGGTGCCATGAACTTGGATTGCTACAAAAAAATACCTTGCTTTAAAGTAAGGAGTGACCACGAGACACCCAATAGCCTGTCTTACTGCCTTGAGGGATGCAGAGACAGAAAATGGCCCATGGTCTGAGGTGCCAGTTGAACTGCAGTAACATCTCTAGTACAAGGTCAAGTCAGAAGACACCCKTGCTACAGTGTGGGTAAAAACATCACCCTGGCACATTATTCTTGTTACATGGGCAGGAATCTTGCTGAGCTGTGATTTCAGGTGTTGATACMGATGAAAGGAAGTTTTCCCATGCTTTAGGGACAGAGTTAAAGCCAGTTATGTCCTGTCTTTACTACAGTGCAGAAAGTTGTTGAAATTGTGCTTGGAAGGGTACAGTGCCTGTGCTTCTTTGGGCTCTATAGACCAGCTCTAAAGGTAATTTCTGTGTCTCCAGTTAACACAGGAGCTGGACAAAGGTTTTCCAAAGGGGCCAGCAAAAGACAGGTATTTTAAGGTTATGTTTTGTGGACTCTGTAGAACAGATGGCTGTAGAAAATAACCTAGATTAAATGAACACAAATCCTTTTAGATTAAATTTAATGGAAGTATAAACCAGTGTGTAATTAAGCTTGTGTATTTCAAAAAAACTTCGGTAAAGTAAGGGAGCTGATTAATAAGCTCAGCTGAGGAACTGTATGTAGAGGAGGTCTGGAACTTTTTCAAGTCAAAGATGCTAAAGCCATTACAACCCTTTATGCCAACAAAAGAAAAAAGTTGTAGGAAGAATATCCAGACCTCACTGAATAAATAACTGCCACAGAGAAGCTGCTAGGAATGGACCAAGTGTCTAGTAAGAACGGAGGGGGAAAAAGATAGCAGGTAAATAATAAAAAGCTGTGTCTTAGAGGTCAAGAASTGTGAAGATGAGGTGAGAACAGTAACAATCGTGCTGAGTCAGACCTTGCAAAAGCKAATAAAATAAACAGCAAAAGTTTTTTAAACGTTGCAAATTGGAGCAGATTGGAAGAAAGGAGACAGTCAGTGAGTCTAAAGGCAGAGAAGTTTTGATACCCARAGTGAGTGCTTTACCTAGGACTTTGAGTTGGAGTGGGGGGCATTGGATATCTCAGMGGCAAAATGGGAAATAATTTGAGAACACTTTTTCAAAGGTTGATCATGCAATCTTTTAGAACATCACTGATTTTCCAGAAGCAGACTAGATCTGATAGGTCTCATTTATGTGAATTTCTGTGAAACATCTGAGGTATTTCCCACATGGAAAATTCTTAGTTAAACTGGGAAATATGAAAATTGCAGTAGCTATGAGATGGACAAGAAACCAGTTCAAGGAAGGACATCAGTAAGTTATGTGAAAGAAAGTAGCATGATTTTAATGGAGCTTGATTAAGAGAGCTCATCAAGGACTTGCCCTTAGTATTTTTGTTTCTCAGCCTTAACAGAGGCATTAGGAATAGGCTGATGAACTTTGCTAATGATGCAAAGGTAGCATGTATTACRACTGCAGAGGAGAATCTGAATTTTGTACAGCAGCTAATGACATTCAGTAAAACAACCTTCAGACCATCATTTGAGGCCCTGCATGAAATACATCTTTAGTCATTAGGAAGAGTAGGAAAGAATTGGTTGTAGCAGTTGGCTGCAAATAATTGTAGATGTAATGTGGCTTGGAAGGTGGTAAATATCCTGTAACACACTAGACACAAGTCTTTCTTCAAAACATGGGGCAATACTAATGCCATTGTATTAAGCTCTCGTGAGGCCCCAAAGTATTGTATGCTCTCATATTCCCAAGTAAAATAACCTCACACTAGAAAAGGCTTGTTATAGCTGACCCAAGGGATAGGAATCTTTTCTTAAGAAAGTAGGCTAGAACAGCTTGCCATATTTAGCCTAGTAAAGTGAAAGTGGAGAGAGGATATGACTGATGTCTGTGTTCGTGGGAGAAGTAATAGGGAAGGAAAAGTACTTTTTAAGCAAAAGGTCAATTTGGCACAACAGCAGATAGGCATAAAGTAAAATACATGTAGGCTGGAAGTCAGAAAAAGATGTTTTGTTGTTGGAATAGTGATCAGAATAAGGGTGGCTGAAAACCTAATGGCTTTTAAAAGAGCATCCTATGCATTTAGGGAAAATGTTACTTGAAGCATTGCCTACAATAGAAAGAGATCATACTTAATAATCCAGGAGGTYGTGTCTCGTTCTCATTCCTAAACTTCTGAGATACTGGTTTTGTAAGTAGGAAAGTGCATATGTAACTCCTTATTCCCTAAAGTTTGTGCTGGAAAAAAGGACTACTGGAGACCCAGAAATGAACACTGCAGAGTGACAACCAGCTGCCACCTCACGACAGCCTTGCTCTGTTTTCACATCCAGTTGATACTTTTTGATTTATGGGCCATTTTTGATGTATGTCCCTTTACTCAGTTTGCTGTGAATGAGAAAGTTCTCCTTGAATCCTGAGCTCTGTGGGAGGAGAGAAGATTGTCCCTTCTCTCTGTGGCTCTCAGGAGGAGCTGTGGCAGGGACAGGAGGGGATCAGAGGTCTTTTATCTTTCAGGCAGTCCTGACCCCATCACCCCTTCACTCCACATCGGAGTGGTGCCGGCTTCTGGCTTTATTGCTCTTGTTTGTTTGTCTTTGGCTGTTATCTCAATATGTCTTTCCTTCCATCTGTCTTTTTCTTCCAGTTGGTGTCCATTACCCTCTCTTATTTCCCCCCATTCCTTATCTGTCGTTCTGTCTGGCAGGCTGTGGCAGTCAGTCCTTCCACGCTGTTTACCCAGTCAGCATATGGCAGCCCTCAGTCATCAGTCACTCCAGCCACTGCCAGAACAGCCTGGAAGGGGGTCTGGCTAATTGACCACATAGGAATTACCCATTAATTCTCTTCCTGTTCCCATTCTTGCACAAAAAGAATTGGAAGAGAACTTGGGCTTATGGGAAGGGGCTTTAAGCCTTTCCATTAGTGGCATTTTCAACCTGTTTAAGTGGCATGGCCATCGATCAGATCCTGCCCTCAGAACTGCATGTGGGGTCTGTTATTCTTTACCTTGACCTGAGCCTGGTCGGAGAGGAATTCTCCAATTTCCTCTGCTTTCTCCTCATGTGGGCAGTGAAGGGGGAGAGTGGGAGAGTCACYCAGCAGCTGAAGCTATGGTTGCCTCCACAGGACATGGGTGGTGGGAGCTGTGGGGGGGCTGARTGGCACCATGCTCACCTGTGATAACTGGTAGCTCTCTTTCCCCAGAACAGCTACTACCCACATGGGCCAGATGTTTTGAGCATCAGTTGCCTAAAGCCAAGTCRGAGTGAACTCATTCCCATGACATTAACTGAGGGGGATTGAGTTGCAGTGTTTTTCTAAAGGAACAAAGCCCAGGATTAGGAAGAATCATAATACTTTATAAAAACACATGCGAGGGCAAGGGAGGCATGAGTGGCCTGGGATTTGACAGAACCATAACCAAAAAGTGCTAACACAAGCTTRTAACAAGCAGGCTGGCAGTGCAGTGAGGATATAGTAAGTGTCTGGTGCTCAGGAAATTCAGCTGTAGCCTGTCTGGTCGTGGTACAGCAGGAATCCCTAAGTAACAGTGTGGTTGGTCCTGTGCAGTTGCAGTTTGATCCAGGATAAGTGCTTAACTCCCAGCTTGTAGCTGTTACATTGTGCCATGAGGGATTGCCTTGGTAAATTGAGCWCTGAAGAGCAGAACTAAAGCTTTTCTGTTTTAAGGACTCACTCCATTGACTTTCTCAGGAGCTGGATTGACCTCCATGTGATTTAGCCATTAAACCRAATTGAATCCTCACTAGCTGTCAAAAGCAGTAGACATTAGTTAGGGAAGGAGCAACCAGTTTTTGTAGGAGGACTGTGACCTCTCCCTGCTGGTCCAGAACATTGTTGTAGGCACAATGTTTTGCTTGCAGTGTGCTCAGTTGCCTTAATCACCTTGGCACGTGAAAGCAGAGAGCTGGGAAGCTTTCTTCTGTGCCAGTGAGTGAGGCAGAAAAGAAACCTCTGTGTTTGGGTGATTTCTTTCAGCAGAAAACCTGGTTTGAAGACACATCACCATCTCTTCCAGAGCACCCTATTTTCTTCTTATGCTCCTTGCTCTCCCCCACCAGATACAGCTGGGGGTAATTTTGCAGCTGATGCCAAAAATCTCTGCTTGGTGTGTGGGATCTGGCATAAGCACTGCAGCATGGTCTTGGGAGTGCAGATGTGAGCTTGATGGTGAGAGGATGAGTAGCAAGGACTGGGGGYTCAAGCTGCTGTAACATGGAGTAGCTCTGATGGTGAGGGGATGCCCAGCTCTTGTTTTGCCAGCTGTGTCAGTGTCTCAGTGCTTTGCCTGACAACTGACAGCATCTTACGTGGCATTGCAGTTTTRTACCTGTCTCTGAAATGAATGGAGAGACCAAACCCAACCTGCATTTCAGTTTATTTTCCTTGGTTTTCAGCTTTGTTATTGTAGAATATTTGTCAGTATTTGTCTCGCCTTCCAGCTGGTGTGGGGAGAAGAGTAAACACCGTTTCCCTTTTCATCCTGTGCTCGCTCTGATGAGAGYTTTACCCTCGCTGCCCTGAATTTTCAAGACTAACTTTGATGCTGGATTTCCAGGGGTATGATGATGCATCTGCAGCCCCCACAGGCTCCTGAAAATATAACTGAAAGTGTCTTGGAAAAGACAGCATGGAAAGCTTGTGCGTGCTTTTGAAATCCTGGCTCTTCTGCCTGGTGACAGCCCTRCTAGTGGAGGGAGCCAGGCACGAGATGGCGCAGGAACACAGTGAGGGATTCCGGCTCAGCCCTGCTCTGCCAGGAGATGTCTGGTGAGCGCCTCGAGCCGACGTGAACTGCTCCCTTGCAGGGAGATGTGTCCGTCCTGTGCACCACCACCCCAGCCTGCCTCTCTCTGGACACTGCCCTGTGATGTGGTTCTCTTGGGAGAGAGGAAGGGAAAGGGTGTGTGTCCGTGGATTTATTTCCAAAGGATGCAGATGTATCCCTGTAACGATAGCGTCGGTTCCTGGCACGGGTGGTAGGAAATGGGCTGGTTCCCAGGTGTTCCTTTTCTGCAGCAYTGAATGGAAAAAACATGCCACACCGTGGTGTTCTGCGAGATGGGGAATTTCCAGAGTCCATGTAAGGAGGAATCTTTTTCTTTTTTTCATGCTCTTGACCCTGCTGTCAAGCCAGAAATCTGCCAGAGGGAAAGAAGGTGGGGTGAGGAAGTCGTGTTTGCAGGCAGTGTGATCAGAAATAGAAATATTTAGGGAACAGCAGTYGCAACAGGGGGAGGAGAAGACCTTTGTCTCTTCTGAAGGGCGAAACAACAGAAGTTGCGGGATAATCAAAGCAGTTGTGAAAGCRCGATGAATTCATTGTAATTAAGCCAGCTGCCAGTGCAGCAGGAATAAACACAGCTCTGCCTGATTGCATTTCTTTCCCCACAGGCCGTGTACAAGCTGGCGGACGTGGCCTGCAAGTGCCACGGCGTGTCGGGCTCGTGCAGCCTCAAGACCTGCTGGCTGCAGCTGGCTGACTTCCGCAAGGTGGGCGACTTGCTGAAGGAGAAGTACGACAGCGCCGCGGCCATGAGGATCAGCCGCAAGGGCAAGCTGGAGCTGGTGAACAACCGCTTCAACATGCCCACCCAGGAGGACCTGGTCTACGTGGACCCCAGCCCGGACTATTGCCTCCGCAATGAGACCACCGGCTCGCTGGGCACCCAGGGCCGGCTGTGCAACAAGACCTCGGAGGGCATGGATGGCTGCGAGCTGATGTGCTGCGGACGGGGCTATGACCAGTTCAAGAGYGTGCAGGTGGAGCGCTGCCACTGCAAGTTCCATTGGTGCTGTTATGTGAAGTGTAAAAAGTGCACAGAGATCGTTGACCAGTATGTCTGTAAATGAAAGGAGCCACCAAAGCAACAAATCTATATTATATAAATCTATATAAATATATTTTATATTTGTATAAATAAACAGATGATGATAATAATTAAAGAAGCTTATTTAAGAGACATTTTGGTTCTGAAATTTCCCCCATTAGGCCAGCTAATTTGACATTCCTTCAGTTCTGCTGGGGAATTTGTCTTTGGGTGCATCTCCCTTCGGGTGTTTCAGTCAGGGTGAAGAAGCTGAGGAGGTGCTGGCAAAGCACACCAGCACGTACCATTTCATTACAGAAAGAAAGCCAGTGAGAAGAAAAGGCGTGGGTTCTTTCTGCTCTCTGATCAGTAAATCTCAGCATTTTGCAATATTTACTTCACGTCGGAAATTACTGCCAGACATGGGTGAGTCCTAGTTATTCAAATTTCAAATCCTGCACTGGGGAATTTGGAACTTTTGGAACTGATTCTTGGTCCCTCTAAGGGCTTTGTCACATTAGAGGGAAGGTTAGCTAAGGCTACAAGGGTATGGCTTAAAATCCACAGTCTTGTAAACAATTCCTGGATGCTCCCCAGACCACAGTGGGGTAGAGGAAAGTTCACAGCCTGCTGTTGTGAGGAAGGGAGGTTCAACCCATGGCTGACCAGTGCACAGCCTGGGGGTCCCCATGAAGCCAGCACCTGGATCTTCTGTACCACCTGGCCAAGGGAAATCTGTCCAGCTCAAACCACATGGCTTTGTGTGTGAGGGAARTTTTTTTTTTCTTTTCCTTTTAATCCCATGCTGAAACTTAATTTTTCAATACAGAGGAAAAGCTGCTTGGTGGGTGCCCAGGGATGTTTGCAGAGTATATTTTGTCAGTATAAAGGAGCATTGCACGCACACACATGCACATGACTGCRTAAGCACTCCTCATCCTGCTGCCGGTTCTCCACTCTGAAGTGGATGCAGGTGGTCACCTTGTTCAGCTCTATTAAATCCTCCTCACCATCAGCCCAGTTGTATAGTCTCTCTTTAACATTAAATGCCCCTCAATGACATTTCTTTCCCTCTGTTGCTTGTGTAGATGTGTGTTTTTGTTTTATTCTTTTGGTGAGGTTCTTTTATTTTGCTGCTCTGTATTTCACAGTCCAGGGGCCCATGCTCTTCCCTGGCATTAGCTCACCACAGGAATGTTCACTCCCAGCTTGTGGGTGTATGTTCATCAGTGGAAGTCTTTTCTGTGTTCCTTGGTAATAAAAGACTATAATAAAATTGTATCAGGGCAGAAGGTATTACCAAAGTCTGCTAATCAGTCTTACCACATTGGGATTTTAGTAGAACCCAATTCATAAAGTGGGGAGCAAATGCTGTTTCTAGCATAAGACATTTCCTGTACCTCTTAGCATCTGCAGAGTCCATTTGCAGTCAGAACAATCAAGAGAAGCCAATTCCCTAAATACAAGGGATTGCTAATACACATCCCCTTTGTTACTGACATTGCAAGGGTGTTGGGGTTCTTTTCCCTGTAAATTTTAATATGCGCAAAGTATGCCAATAAGCAATGAGCCAGTCATGAAGATTATTATTTTTATATTAAACCTCCGTTTCTTATAAACATTGCAGTTTTACAGATTCCACCATTTCAGCCACCAGAGAAGAATTTATATGTACCTTTCATACTTCAAATATTTGAGGACTCCAGAAAAGCACAAGGAAGAAAAATTATGCCTAATAATTAGGAGCTGTTATTTTTTTTAAACCAATGTGTCCAGTTTTTTGGCTTTTTTTTTTAATCCAACAGGCAATATATTTGCTGGCATCCCAGAATGCAGTTTTTTTGGAATATAAACAGTGGCCTAGATTTACTTTATTATATAAAATCCAAAGCCAGTGGTATTGTAATTCAAAGTAACGGAAATAGTTTTCCATGYATGGAAAAAATGTGAGTGCAGTGGCCAGATCCAACTCCCATTAAACTTCAGTGGGAGCTGGACTGAGCCCAAGATCGGATCAAATGTGTGAGCTATTCACTCCTGGGATACTCTGTGTTTCTAGCCCAGTAATAAAATTTGCTCTACCTTGGATACATCTGAAAAAGACCTTTCCTCCCACCAGCCTCACCTCATGTTCTTGGCCATCCTTATTGCATCAGTGCTTGAAGGTGTCAGCTATTTGTGTATGACACCCTCAGGCATTGTTAATGTGTCTAATCGTTCAAAGTTAYTTCAACTGGCCTTTCTGATAAAGACCACACATTTCAGGGAGTCACAACTCTCCTTGAGGTTTGGCACCACTATTAATTTTGTGTGTGTAAATTTTGGGAGCGGAAAAGTTGGCATTGTTAGGGCTGCTATTCATCCGGGTGTCCCTGGATATGTCCTCCTTTTTCCACCTAAAATGTCTGGATGGAAAAAAGATATTTTTTGGCCTTTTGTCCCAGCATTCCAGACCTCTGGCAGCCTGGTTGGAGCCAGCAGTTCCTACTGGATTGGGACCATATAGTGATAGAAGTGACCATTAGATTTTCCTCTCCCTTGTTTTTTTACAAGAACCAGGCTTCCGCATTTTAGATTTTCTGGGAATCTTGTATCCAAAAATTTGATCCCGCTAAACTCTCGCTTAAAACTTAATTTCTATAGCAGTCACACATAAAAGAACCTCCGTAGGGTGGTAGTAAGTATAAAATAAGAACACAACCAGATTGGCTTGATGCAAATCCAAAGGAAGTCAAACAGAMAGCTGCAGCAGAACTGCTTCTTTTACTATGAAAGTTAAAAAGTGGATTTTAAGTTGTGCCCTGTTTGATGCACAAAGTGATGAGAGAGGGGTGTGGGGTTGAGAGCTAAGCTTAATTCTGAGCTCTGCTGATAATCTGCTTCATAATTTTCAAATAATTAATTTCTTTGCATTTTAGCCTCCAGCCTCCTTCAGTACAAAATAAGGAGCAGAATACCTCTTTCTTCTGTAAAGCTCTTTGAAAAAATATGGCTGAAAAAGTTTAATTGAATGCCTGTGTCCAATGCTCATTAACTCTGACAGGCAGACAGCTGTATCCACATTGTGTGGGGATGCTCAGTTGGGGACTAAGAGGCTCAGCAGCACCTTGCAGGGTCAGATGCTCAGAGGTTTTTGCTGGGGGCTCAGCAGGAGCTTCAGAGGGTCTGTAGTAGCAAAGCATTACTCTGGCACAGTGCTGGAGGAAGACTGTGCTACAGAAGAGATGTCAGCTCAGGGCTTGTTTATTTATGGGCACTGAAGATCTTGTAGCTAAAGTAAGGCTTAGAGAGGTCAGCCTGGTTTCTGCGTGCTCCAGTTCTGTTTGCAGTTTCATRTGGATAAGATATTCACACAAAACACTGTGACATACTGTGGGCTGGTAACTGGCTGCCACATTCCAACCCTGAAGTCACTGCACTTCAAGGCTGATAGAAATGGCCACCATTAAGTCATGTAAAACTAAAATATTTTGGACTTAAAGGCACTATGCACACACCCTGTTACTACAAGTCAGTGAACATGGGCTCCTAAATGGAGCAGAACAGGATGCAAATCTGTCATCATTTTCCAACTGGTAAGTGCTGCCTAAGTTATAGTGGGAATGAATGAGGCCTTAGTATGCTCTGCTGCAAGGTAAGTCAAGCAATAGCTGATCCCAGAACAGAAACTTTCAGTTGATATTAACTATGCTAAAAAGAAGGTGGCATGGTTGTGTGCAAATTTAAATGAATGTTTTAACACTGCTGAACTTTAGGCCATTTGAATCATTTGGAGGCTCCCATTCTTTGTCTCCCAAAAGTCTGTGCTGGCTCAGAGCTCAGTATAACACAGCAGTTTCTGCCTTCTGCAATTTAGGAAACAGCCACGTTGGACTCAGACATGCAGCATTAGTGCAACTTACGCTTTCTATATGGACCAAAGTTTTGTAGCCCTCACAAATGAAGCAGATTTTGTTCAGTCATATGAAATCAAACATGTGGGTAGTCTCTGCTCACTTGACCCCATCCAGGGAGAAGCCTAGTAGGTTTAAATTACACTGTGGGAGCAATTCCTAATCACCTGTGGCTACAGAAATACAGACAGTATTTTCATCTGCTGACACAGCCACAGAACATCCCRAGGAGACCTTTGGAAATACCTTTCAGTGATTGCAGGGCATTTCTCAAGTGTGTGTCACAAGGCTTTTCCAGAATCAGCTGCTTATATGGTCATTAACTTTCATTTAGCTTTTGTTTAACTACATTTCAGGTTAAATAGTTTCTAGCAGATACTCTGTGAAATCAAGTTCACGGAAGGGCAGGCTCTGAAGGAAGTGTCATAAGACAGACAGCAGATGTGAACATACCAGATCCCCTTCTTCACAAAGGCAGACTCTGGTTACGTCTCATCCCTGGGACCCAGAGATGCAGATGTATGCAGATGTGTGTCCTGGCCATATTCTGACACCCTGGCACCAGTACCCTGTGTGCAAACTCTTATGGATGCAGAGACTGCCGAGTGAGTAGCCTGTCCCAGCTCCAGTGTAGATGGGTGGTGGCTTTGGGACTGGGCCACATCCTGAGCATACCAGCTCTGAAGTCTAAATATAACCAGCCTCAAACATAAGCAAAGATTGTAGTTCCGTGCCCAACAGAACACGTACAGAAATGACAAAAAGAATCATGATCAGCAGTTATAAATCCCCAAATAACAATACTAAAAYCCTCAGTATARTACAATGRTCACAGCATKCTCATGCCCTCCATCCATCAGTCTTTTCCTGCAGGACCTGAAGCTGCTACTGTACTCTCTTGTATCTTAGTTCTGTTTAAATGACAGTTGAAATCTATTTTTTTTTCATTAGAATTCAAAAAGGTGTGATCTACATGATAGCATTTCCTTGAAGATAAAAAGAGAGAAAGGAGGAGCAAACAGTGCCAGGAGTTCTYCCTGTGAGCACTGATAAAACGCAGCAGCCATAAAAAGAACTACTGAACACTGCCCTGTGACACTCAAGTGGGACCCCTGCCCTCAATGTCACAGTTACCTCTCCGTGTTACCCACCCATGGCCCATAGGACACCAGTTCCAGCTGTTTGGAATGTGCTGGCTGCAATCAGCACCGCTCTTCAGCAGCATGGCTGCGTGTGTGGTGAGGGTCGGATAATGTGGGAAGGGAGAAGGACTCAAATAACGAAAGAAATCCGGAAGAGAATGAGCACTCACTGCTTTCCCCGGAGGCAGGGAGATGGCAGTACCTCTCCCAGGCCCTTTTCCCATTGGTGCTGTCACATGGTGGCAGGTGCCCTGGGAATGCAGGAGGGAGCCGCTCAGGTATGTTTGCCAACAKAGATGAAGCAGTTTAAAGGCTTGCAGCAATAACACACATCCTGAAAAAAAGAAAAGAGTCCAGGCTCTTCCTTRGCCTAAGGCAGTTTTATTCTGAATCATCATTTGTCTTATGGCTCTTCCTAGAATGCCAATCGCTGTGTCAGCCCTTCACAAGACTCGCAGGGCACCGGGATCACGYGGGATGGGCAGGATGAGGCATTACCATGCAAGGACAACACTGCCTTTCAGGGAAAAAATTAAAGATGTGGGGTATACCCCGTGCTGCAGCTAATTGTAACCCTGTCTTGTCCATAGCCTCAAGAAACTGCATAAGTACCTAGCGTCTTCTTGGGCTGAACAAACATCTAGACCAGTTTTTTAGAGTGGCAGCCCTCTGCAATTCACTGTAATGATTCTGGCCAGTTTCATTTGCCACAAGCAAATTTGTTTTCTCTTGCTTGGGAACAACAGAGTTAACCTGTCATGACCTGCCAACTTCCACAAATCACAGAGCTGTGTATATGACAAACACGTTCTGAAGGAATTAAGGCAAATGAACATTTTATTACTGCTGTATTTTCTAGGAATTATCTGTAAATGCCTAGGCAGTACATAACTCTGATTTTGAAAATGTGTTTTGCTGTGTTGCAGAGCACAGCTTTGCTTTTTGACTTCCAGGCTCTTGAACTAGAATAAACTACCCAAATTCCTTTTATTTGATATYTATTGAATCAGTATTCCTATCTCATTTTCCCTCTTAATTATCTGAGTACACATGAAGTTATGGTGACAGGAAATGACAGATGAAAATGAYGTGCAGTTTTTACATACATTTTTCGTCAATGAAGCTCAAAATATTTTAAAATCATTAGTGCCATTTTACAGAAGAAATCCTGAAAGACAGGGCAGGAAATACTTCATCTGACAGGCACGGGGTGGAGCTGGAGCAGCCACTGCAGCTGCTACTCCCCGTGCTGCTGCCCAATGGCTGTCAAAAACATTAGGATTGATGAGAGAAACGGTAAATACGTGTAATGTTCAGTAGCTACCTTGCTCCCTTCACAATAACAGAAACTTTAATGAAGGTGTGAGATGGGACACATTTTAAAGGAGACAACAGAGAATMTAGTTTTACAAACAGTTTTAAGGAATGGGCAGGATATATTTATTGTTTGTGACTATTAGGGATCAAAACAACTCAAATATTAATTTATAGGGATGATTTTGCTTCCATTAACTATCTCATTCACAGTCACCAGTTTGACCTAAAACTTCTGTTGTGGGGACAAGTGTGTTGATTGGAGTGTGGCTCAGCAAAGCACTAAGGTATATAGAACACACAAATTACAGACAGACAGGCTYTCCAGATCATCCAGTTATTCTCCCTGGCAGCTGCTAAGATTGTCCTCTAACAGGGTAATCTTCCCTTCGTGTTTTAACTGGTTTCCCTGTAAAATAAAGGTGTAGGGTTTCCACCATTTTCCCCAAGGACACCTCCCTTTTGGGAGGTGAAATCTCCACATCACATAGGTTTTCCTGCTGCTCTGCCAACACTTCCAGTGGAAGAACAGGGCAGGTTCTTGTTCTYTTTGGTGTTCCCCCAACATGCCTCTACACCAGACACAGGCATTCGGGCCCTGCCCTGTCACCTGAGCCAGGCTTCCCAGATGCCTCCTGTCACATCAGGCCTGGGAACACTGTCTGGTTTCCATCATCCTGGTCTTGTACCAGCTGTGGCCTTCCCACCTGGTGCTGTGCCCTGGCGTAGGCAACTCAGTCCCCATCCAGTGGGGCTTCTGAAAGCACTGAACCCCATCCAGTGGGGCTTCTGAAAGCACTGAACCCCATCCAGTGAGGCTTCTGAAAGCACTGAACCCCATCCAGTGGGGCCTCCTTCCCCTCTTCCAGCTGCCCCAGACATGGGGGATGCTCACACCAGAGAATCACAGACTGGGTCAGGCTGGAAGGACCACAGTGGGTCATCTGCTCCCACGTCCCTGCTTGAGCAGGGCCATGCCAGAGCACATGACACAGGACTGCATCCAGATGGTTCTGGAATATCTCCATAAACGGAGATTCCACAACCTCTTTGGACAATCTAGTCCAGTTCACAGTCACTGCCCACTAAAGAAGTTTTCCTCATATTCAGGTGGAACTTCCTGTACATTAGTTTCTGCCCATTGCCTCTTCTCCTATTGCTGGGCATTTCCGAGAGGAACCTGGCTCCATCCTCTTGGCACCCCGGTTCAGATACTTAAAGACATTGATGAAGTCTCCTCTCAGTCAACTCTTCTAATGCAAAAAAAAAAAAAAAAAAAAAAAAATTTCAACTGTCATTTAAACAGAGCTAAGAAGAGAGTACAGTAGCAGTTTCAGGTCCTGCAGGAAAAGGCCAATAGATGGAGGGCATGAGCATGCTGTGATTCTTGTATTGTGCTGAGGGTTTTATTATTGTTATTTGGGGATTTATAACTGCTGATCATGATTCTTCCTGTCCTTTCTGGTATGTGCTCTGTTGGGCATCTTGCCCCCAGTGAGTTTTGCTGTGCCTGGATGGCCATGAGCTGTTCCCACAGCTGCCTCTCTGTCATGGGAGTGCTGTGTGGCATGGGTTTTCCCACAATACCGATTTCATAGGAGAGGGTGATGCTCTGCTGCCTGCTCAGGGCACACAGGAAGCGGTGTAAAAGGGGAATCCCCCCAGCCTAGAATCCATCGATGGGGGCTGGAAATTCCATTCTTTGCCAACCCCCCACCATTCTTCTGCCACAACAATGCCATGTAGGGCTGGGGACAGGAGTGGTTGGAAAGTCTGTTGGAGAAGGACCTTGGGATGTTGATCAACAGCCGGCTGAACATGAACAAAAGTGTGCCCAGGTGGGCAAGAAGGCCAGTGGTATCCTGGCTTGTATCAGGAAGTGTGTGGCCAGCAGGAGCAGGGCAGTGATTGTCCCCCTGTAGTTGGCACTGGAGAGGCCACACCTYGACTGCTGTGTCCAGTTCTGGACCCTTGATGAAGCATTTTTTGGTGCTGGAATGAGTCCAGAGGAGGTCAATGAAACTGGGGAAAGGCCTGGAGCACATGCTTTATGAGGAGTAGCTGAGGGAGTTGGGGTGTTTAGGCAAAGTAAAAGAGASTCAGGGGAGTCTTTATGGATCTGTACAACTCCCTGAAAGGAAGCTGTAGCCAGGTGGGGGTGGGGCTCTTCTCCCAGGAGAGAGCACAYACTCCTAAACTGTGCCAGTTGAAGGCTTAGTTGGACATTAGGAAGAATTTCACAGAAAGGGTGACTGGACATCGAAATGGGCTGTGCAGGGAGGCGGCGCAGTCACCGTCCCCGGGGTGTTTAAGGAAAGCTGGACATGGCACTCAGCGCCATGGTCTGGCTGACATGGCGGTATCTGATCCCACGTTGGATCCGATGGTGTCACAGATCTTTCCCCCTCGACTCCATGATTCCACTCCCCGGGGTAAGAGGGATGACTCT